ATCCAGGGACAACTATCATAGTCGAAGAAGATGATGAAGAATCAAAAAATGAAGAACATAAAATAGATGAAGCCAAGACTAGGTTTCAAAGGATTTTTGTATGCTTTGGAGGTTGCAAGTAAGGTTTTCTGGCAGGATGTAGGCCATTCTTGTGGGTTGATGCCTGCCATTTGAAAGGGCCATACAAGGGACAACTGTTGCAAGCTGTTGGTTTGGATGGGAATAACAACAGCTATCCATTGGCCTTTGCAGTTGTTGAAGGAGAAACAAAGAGTTCATGGAAATGGTTTTTTGAAATATTGTGTGGCACTCTTGGGTGGTTCAACAAGCAAGGAGTGACCTTCATGTCTGACAAGCAAAAGGAAAATGCTTATTGGAAGTTTCATGCATTTATTTGTACTGTTTAGTTCATTTAATGTGTGTAACTTTTTTTTTTTCCCCTGCAAATGTACGGATTGTGTCCAACACATATAGAGGTTGCACCCATGGCAGAGCATAGGTTCTGCATCAGACATCTTTACACCAATTTCAAAGATAGATTCAAGGAGGTGCACCTGAAGGACATTGTGTACAAAGCTACAAAGGCTTCTTATATACAAGCATTTGAGGCTCATATGGAAGAGTTAAAGGAAGCTGATGAAGATGCATTCAATTGGTTAGTTGAAAAACCTCCAAGCACCTGGTCTAGATCTCATTTCACACCTACAGTTAAGTCTGATATCTTAGACAACAACATGTGTGAGAGCTTTAATAGCTTGATCCTAGAAGCTAGAGGAAAAACCATAATCCCTTTGTTAGAGGACATTAGGTGTATCTTGATGAAAAGGTTGCAGGTGAGAAGTAATGAGGGCTTTCCTAGGACCTATTTGTCTTAATATACAACAAGCACTGGAGAAAAGGAAAGAAGATGCAAGCAATTGTATTGCTATGTGGGCAGGAGGTCTAAGGTACCAAATCAATTACTTCAATGGGCAACATTTTGTAGTTGATTTGGGTGATTCAACCTATTCATGCAGAAAGTGGGATCTAATTGGCATACCATGTTGTCATGCCATTTCAACCATATATGACAAACATGAGCAACCTGAAGATTATGTGGCTCATTGGTATAAGAAGGAGACATACTCGGCTAGCTATGAGCCAATGATATTCCCAATAAATGGTTTTGAAATGTGGCCAAAGCCTGTGCTGCTTGCATTATTGCCTCCAAAAGTGAATAAACAACTTGGTAGGCCAAGAAAGTTGAGAAAAAGGCAAGCAGATGAGCCTAACAATCCCCATAAGTTGCACAGAGGAAACACAACAACTACACGCAGCTTGTGTGGTAAGCTTGGGCACAACAAAAGAGGATGCAAAGGCCAGCCTATTACACTAAAGGTTACCCTACACTCAATTTGTTACATCTTCATAAATTTAATTCATTTATTAGAGGTCCTTCATACAATTAATTATTGGCAAATTGCAGGTGACAAACAACCAGTCAAGCACCCAGAGAAGCAGTCAGAGAAGCAACCAACCACCTACTCAACCCAGTAATCAACCAAGAGACCAAGCAACCACTGAACCCACTAGTCAAGAAGGCAGTAGGGTAAGCATTTCAATAAGGCCTAAAGCAAGTGGTAGTCAACCAAGTTTCAACTTTAGACCAGTATTGCAAGGGGTGAGCATTAGGGGACCTCCACCAGGGTTCATTAGAACAAACACATTCATTGAGCCAAACTCATCTAAAGGTCCATATGCGGGTTCAACAACATATGAGTCAAAGGGGCAGCAGTTTGTGACCTTGTCTTCACTACCAAAACATCGAAGAAATTAAATGTTGAAGGAGCAGTTACCTAATAGTAGACAACAATTTTTTTTGCGGATTGTTATGCATTATGTTTTGTTGTATTTGGCTTTTTTATTTTATGTTGGAACATGGTAATGTTTTGTTGGATTTGATATTTGTATTTTGTTGGCACATGGAAAACTGATTGGCCTTTGTGTTATTATTTGAAGTAATTATTTATTTATTTATTTATTTGTATTGGAACATGTTTCGACCATTTTTTTTTTTTTTGGTATCAACCATGTCTACAATGTTTATTTCTATGTCTTTTGCATCATGTTTGCTAAAAGTGAAACAAACCAATGCAGCAAAAGTGTAACAACACCATGATCTAGTGTGATTGAAAAAAAAATGATAATCAAAAACAGTTTCATTCAACATTCATTTAAAAATTCAACATTGACTCAAATGTTGATTAAAAAACATTGTTACAGCTTGATTCAACATTGATATAGTGTCATTCAAAATATGTTTGGACACTTATAACATTCATACATAATAAACCCCAATTACATAACGCTAGACATAACAAAATTAAACCCTAAAATCCATTCCCAGTCTATAAGCATCAATTACAAGAGAAAAAAAAAAAAAAAAAAAACCCACTTCATTCCTACTCCATTCCCAGTCCAGAAGCTTCAAAACAAAATAAATATTAAAAAAAAAAATTTAACATCTTCAATTTCCATCATTCCCAATGCTTGAAAGAGAATCAGCTACAGAACCATCTCCAATCATGTTTCAACACCAAAAAATGAGCCATGACAATGCCATCAAAGTAATCAACTTCCTCTGTCTTACTCAATACATCTTCAATTGCTCTTCAAGCATGGTGGTTCAACCCAGGTATGATCTCTCGAGCGCGAGGACACAATGGAGGATCCACCCATAGAAAGAATCCACAGGCATGTCTGCTCTGCAATATTTTTTCTGAAACACCTCAGCTGCCTTTACAAATAGTATCACAAAAGGACATCCCAATGTTTTTTCCATCTACACTTACACCATATTGAGGACATCCCAAAAACCTTCGTCCAGGGTTGCTCTCTGTCCACGAAGTCTTCAACTAAGCTTCCACTCTGCATCGGCATAATACATGATCCATCGTCTTCTTTCGTCTGTTTACCATCAATTTTGGGGTCTGTATGTGTATATAATGGAGATAGAGATGACATATGCGATTTTGGCGGGAGATAACCTAGGGTTTGAGGTGAAAAGACAAGTATGCCTCTCAGTAATTACTAGAGGGAACACATGAGAGGCAGGTGCTGGCTTTCCGTCCATAATTTCAAACGGGCGTCAATTATTGAACGAAATTGACACACTTCATTAAATTGAGGAGCTAAATCGAGCAATTTGAAATGTCAAGAACCAAAATGACACATGAGGTAAAGTACATGAACTATTTGTGTAATTTGCCCTATAATTTATTAAGTAAAAATCTAAGTGATGATATTTTCAATTTTTACTTTCGAATTATTAATTTTTAATTGACAAATTACACTAACGGTCCCTATAGTTTGGGACTTGTGTCACTTTGGTTCCTGACTTTTCAATTGTAACACATTTAATTTAGAATTTTGAATCTTGTTCCAAATAAGGACAATTGAATATACTATTGCTTAATTTCAAGGACAAAATTGCCAATTTAATAAAATATAAACTAATTTCATTAAAATAAATTTAAAAAAAATATTTTTGAATATTTAAAAATTATTTCTACCCACTAAAGATAAAATTATGTAAAATTAATAAATCTTTTAGACATTTATATATTTATTTATTTATTTATATCAAATTAATTTTTACTATGTAAAATTGATATTTAAAAAAAAGAAGAAGAAAATAAAAAATTACAAAATATTATTGATTGACCACAATAGTCGCATAATATATGGGATCATGTAATCAGTTATTCAAAGTCGAGAGAGAATGAAGCTATTTAGGAGTATTGCTATTTATGCTTAAAAATTAGATTAATTTTCTAAATTCAATGATGTGATATTTTATTAAAATATTTAAGTCAACTTTTTCTCTCATTTATTTTTTAATTATCAACCAATCATCTTATTTACATATCATTTTACATAGGTAATGGGTCTAGAAAATAAGTTTGCATATCATTTTTTATTTTTGTTAAAGTTATCTTAAAATATTTTTTTGGATGGTTGAGATTTAATTTTACCACAATTGAAGGTACCATGATAATTTCACCTTCCAACTCTCAAAATGTTGCATTATCACTCTACAATCACTCTAAAAAGAATAAATAAATAACTCAAGAGGATCCTAACTACTTTAAAAAAAAACATAAGGGTTTATTATACTTTATACTCTTAAACTATCATTAAATTGTCTACTTACTCTCAAAATTATTAATTGAGTCTACTAAGTTTTTCAAGTGTATAAATCAAAGTCTATTTAATTTCTAAACTTTTGATTGAATTTGTTTAGTTCTTAAATTATTTAATTCAAACTTATTTGATCCATAAAATAATTACTAAAATTAAATATATGTTTATAAGTATTATAAATTAGCAACAAACCTTACATAATTAAAATTTTATTTTATGTTTTAAAACTGGGCATCAGTTGTTATGATGAATTTCCTTTATAAGAGTAAGAGTAATTATCTAAAATATTTTATTACTTATTTTTTACAAGTGGCTACGTGTTTACTTTCATCTACAAAGATTAATTACATTTTTCCTTCATATAATTTAGTCCAAAAACACTTTACCCCTTCTAATTAAAAAATGTATAACCTTATTGCGATTTGGAGTGAAACGCAAAACTAACCGAATCTGTTATATACACTACTAAAAAAAACACTTTTTCCGACTGCCACAAGCCGTCGCAAATAATAAAAATACAGTCGCAAAAGACTTTTTGCAACGGCCTATGCGACTGCAAATGGGGGACGCAAATGTGGGGGTGGCAAATACTTTTTGCGACGGCAAAGTGACAGTCACAAATTATTTGCGACCACCTAAACTACTTTTTGTGACAGCTATTTTGCCGTCGCAAAAAAAAATTAAAAAAATTAAAAACACTTTTAGCGACCATTGTTTTACTGTCGCAAATAATTATTTCTTAAAAAAAAATCATATACGGGTTTGCTACAACAAAAAAATTAATTCCAAGCACCAAACAATTTTTTGTTAATGAAAAATAACAAAATTAACAAATTAATTAAATTTATAATAGACATTATCCATTAACCATCCTTAAATACACTGTACTAAAAAATTCAAGTCTTAAAAAAAAAAAAAAAAAAGTGCAACATAATCTTTGGCTCCCAACATCACCCGCTCGATCATATCAACTATTCCCTCAACAAAATCTGCAAAAACATATATCAAACTCAACCAGGTGCCTTCATACTATAAAATGCTATGTAGTTAAACACAATATAAATTCAGAGAGACAGAGCCATTCTTCAAAGTGTGAAATCCCAACTATTGAAATTCTGAAAATAAAATAATATATGAGTTGAGTTTATTGGGGGCAACTGAAAATAAAAAGTTACTAAATCTTTTGAAACCAAATAGACTCATCAAAAAAATGTAATAACATAATTAAACATATATTTTTTAAATTCCTTCATTTTGTATTTAAAAGTATAATTTTTGCAGGGTGATCCACAATCTATAAGATGCTAGTCTGCAGGAGTAGATCTAGTAGAAAACCAGAACAGAGACAATATGATACCCAAATAAAAAATTCAAAATTTCCACAACCTATCGTCAAAAACCTATAAATTACAGTAGATTCTTCAATCTCAGTTCCAGTTGGACATCTAGGATTTTTTTATACAACAACAACAGCACAGAAACTCACAGTATCCAAAACAACAGCACAAAAACCACAAAATACCTTCTGGGTTGTGTTTGATTTTGGATTGAGGCGGTCTAAGAGAACCCGACGAAGAAGATTCTTGGTATCCTCTCTTCATGGCCAATAATCTAAAATGGGCCCTCTTCACTGACAATGGAAATCAATCTTCCTGACAGCTTCCATGCATAACATGATTAAGTAAGAGTAATCAAATCAAACCCCATCAAAGAAAAAAAAAAAAAAAGAGTAATCAAAACCATAAACTGCAGCATATAAAAAATGGACTAATCCAAACAAGTACAAGCAAGCCTTACATCAGGTGATGCAAAAAATTTCCCCACAAAGAAATGTTCACAAATTTTATTTATTTATTTATTTATTTTTGGTTGCTATATGATTGCAAGTTTAAAGACAAATTTTTTCTAAAGCTGAATGAGAGACATGAGATGAAATCGAGCTTAAATGTAGAACAATGTTTTGAGCTATTGAGTCTGGGCTTTAGATTACCTAACTTAATAGTTCAAACAAAGAAGATGCTGAAAAAATCAGTTAGATACTTGACAAGAAACAAAGAATCATTAGCTAAAACATGTGCATGGTGAGCATAATTACATAGCTGACAGAGAGAATAATTGTATAATTCACATCACTTAATAAACAATATTGTTCCTTTGTAAAAGCCATTGCAATAGACACAACATATACATAAACCATGTGGTTATTCTTTTATATAGCATTTATGGTTTCTAGAAATGTCTCTCTCTAACATAAGCTGAGCCTAAAACACCAATCTCGAAGCTATTACAATTTTAAAACATGAACTAACATACTTTAATTAATTATAATGTCCAATCATTTACTGAACCTTCAATCATTAACTACTAAAGAGGTTCACCCAATAACAATGAAAAAATGATTTCCCCCAAGAAGGCAACAGGCCCTTGCTTTTTTCATTAGGTTAATACGATATAACGACAACACGAAGCTGATGCTAAATTTTCAGCTATTTAAAGAAGAAATGCTGCTAGAAGAAGAGGAAATAGGAATCAAGTAGAAAAAATCCTCTCTTAAACAATCTGTTCAGAAGCTAGAATTTTTTTTTTATTATACCGTAAAAAAATTTATTTCAAATTTATTTATTTATTTTTTTATCAGCAACAAAAGAAGAATTTTACTAAAAAGAAGAAAAGAGAAGTACAAAGGAGGACAAGAAGTCCTCAAAAGCAAAAACCAAAAAATCTACAAACGGAAAAACAAGAAGGCCTCAATTTTTTTTAAAATTTTTTATTTCAATTTACTATCCAATTAAGGAAAAACAAGTGGTTTACAAATCAACTATCACTAACAATAAACTAATCTATTTTGGAAACTCCAATAATTGCAACGGTAGCATAATGGAAGTTTCACGAGCACCAATTGTTAAAAAAAAAAAAGGAATGATCACTAGCTATCCACATGAAGTATGCAAACATTAAAAAAAAAAAAAAAAAAAAAAAAAAAAAAAAAAAAAAAAAGCATGATCACTAGCTATCCACATGAAGTATGCAAACTTCTGCTGGTGTAACTTTGTTAACAACCTATAGTGCAGATTTTTTACAAATCAACTATCACTAACAATAAACTAATCTATTTTGGAAACTCCAATAATTGCAACGGTAGCATAATGGAAGTTTCACGAGCACCAATTGTTAAAAAAAAAAAAGGAATGATCACTAGCTATCCACATGAAGTATGCAAACTTCTGTTGATGTAACTTTGTGAACAACCTATAGTGCAAATTTGGTCTTATTTCACATGCTTTATCATCTTATAGTTTTTAGAAGATTTAATTCTCCCCACATACCGAATACAGCTAGCATTTATACCTACAATATATTGACATTTACAAAGAGAGAGCCAACCGCTTCATAATTAGTTTGGTTTGCATTTGTGCACCCATTGAACATTCACATATTGCTCTAATTTTCTTGTTCAAAAAAACTGGAGGGCTACAAAGAATTAATTTACTTCTTCCTTATCATTGAGCAACAATGTATCAAAACTTGCCCCAACAGCCTTTCTATCAGTTCTATTCAACAATACAAAAACACTGAAGACCCAAGGATGTCCATGATTTAATTAATTTTGGCTCTATTAAGTAGAAATTTCTAACTAAAACAAGTCTACAGCATAAGATTCGATTTCCTTTTCTTCCCATTTTCAGCATTTGCTAAGCAACCAAACATAGGCAAAATCAAAACATATGATCAAACCAACCTGGGCCATAAAACTCAAAATTTGCTCTAACTTTAGCTGATTTTCATTCTCAAGAACTAAAACAAATGTAAAGCATGAAATAGAATTTCTTTTCCGGCATTTTCTCAACAACAAAACATAGGCAAAAACTATAAATATTATAAGAAAAAAGTATAGCATAAAACTGTCATCTTAATTTTCATTCAAAGGGACTAAAAACAGAGCTAAAGAATAAAACTCAATTTCTTCAGTTCTCTTTTTTGACAATTTCTAAGCAGATAAACAGAGGCAAAATGGAGAAATATGTCAGACAAAACAAAAACATGCTGAATTTTCAGGCTTAGGAAAAAAAAATGAAATGAAGAAATAAAATTGAATTGCATTCACGGAATGATATAAATCATCAAATTTGAATATTGCAAGGGTCATCCGTCGATCCAAACCCTAGGAGCAGATTCAAATCACAAAATAAGAAGAAACGAAGGAAGATAGAAACAGAGAGAGTACCTTCTAAAAGAGAGTACCTTGAACTCGATCGAAACCCTAGGTGTAGATTCAAACCTGAAAACAAGAAGAAACAGAGAAAGAAACTTGAGAGAGAGAAAGAGCATACCTTCAATGATCGAGTTCGAAAGAATCGAGAAAAGTTAATTGTGTTTTTAGAATATATATATATATATATATATATATAAGAAACAAAGAGAGCACAAGATTGAGAAGAACATTGAGTGTGTGAGAGAGAGAGAGAGAGAGAACGAGACAGAGGGACAGAGAGAGAGAACGAGACAGAGGGACAGAGAGAGAGTGAGAGAACGAGATTGAGAGATTCATACCAATGTGAGACCGAGAGAGAGACAGTGAGACCACATACGAGAGAGAATGATCAGTGTTTGTGAAGGGCTAGGCAAATATAAGGAAAAGAAAAAAAAATAAAAGAAAATAAAGGATGAATTGATTATTTGCGACTGATAATCAGGTGGTCGCAAATTAAATAGTAGCAAAAGGTGATTTTTCTAGTAGTGATATAACAACGCATGTTGTGCATCCTTAGCTAAAACGCGTGACGACATTGTTAGGAATAAAATTTGAAAGAAAAAGGTCTCGTTTGAGTATAAGTTAATTTAGTAATTTTTTGATTATTTGATTAAAATATGAGCTAAAAAAAATTAGTATGTTTGAAATAATTTTTTGACTTTTTATGAAAAGATGTGCAAAAAGTAGAGAGAAAAGAGAATTAAAAATTTTTGACTTTTTAACATAAATTGTTGACTTTTTAATTTTTTTAATAACTTTTTAATTTTTTTATTAAAAAACACGCTTGTCAAACGAGACCTTAATCTTCTTCTACAATCCGCGTCTATCTCACTGTGCATAGCCCAATCCCACAGCACCGACGAGACAATTGATTACAAAGGAGCAACCACCAACATCACACACACACACTCTCTCTCTCTCTCTCTCTCTCACACACACACACACACACACACACACCCACGACAACCCCCAATTGAAAATAACGCACAGAGATCCAAACTCCATCTCCCCCTCATCAATGCCGAATTATATCTCTGTTAAAAGAAACCATGTGTGAATGGGGAGAGAGAGAGCTATTCGGTTTCAGTTTTTGATGGGTATACCATGGGAGATGGTGGTGCCATGGGTGTTCCTATAGTTGAGTTGACAATTACAATGTACAACTACGGTTGGTAAATAAGAAATTTCCTGTAATAATTTTTCATATGACAAGTACTTAATTAAACTATATATCAGCTATATATACTGTTAGAAAATAATGATTTTTTTAATAACTTTAATTTGAAATTAAAATAATCGCTAGTTGAGGTGGGTCCGAATGATTTTAAATTTTCTTAAATGAGAATGTTGTAATATAAAAATAATGAGTCGAAACTATTAGATTGTAAATGAAAATTGTCTTATAAAGTGAATATTAATAGAATTTAGTCTTAAGCTTGGGCCTAAACTTAGACTTGAACAGTCTTAGTCTTGATCTGGAGTCATAGTCTTGGTTTGGATTAGTCTAGGCTTGTGTATATGCGTGTCCATGTATTAGACTTAGTCTTAGGTATAAGTCAGGTTGTGTTATACTGTATCAGACTTATTTTGTGCATATGTTTTAGATTAGGTTTGGATCAGGTTGTGACCTAACATCCATATCCGTTTTGCAACCTATCTAGTTGGATTATTTAAATTGCATTATATATCAAGATATTTGGGAGATTTTCAACTTTTGTAACTCTCATATTTTAATGGAGTTGATAACTATATTAGTGGCCATGAATTTTTGACCTTTGTAACCTTAACACTAATGGCTATAGTCGATACCCTTGTTTAATGGTAATTTGATGATCCTATTGATATTAATCTTCATGGCTAAGGTTCTCCCCTATAGGTATAAATAGAGACTTTTCCCTCCAACTTAGTAAAATAATTTTTGGAGAGTGTTTTTTTTTTTTTTTTTTTTTTTTTATAGAAAATGAGATAATGTTTTGAGATAATAAAGTTGGAGATAATTTTTATAGCAAAGAAAAAATTTTCTATCTTCTTTGCTAGTCCCTTCTTTGGTTCTTATTAAAGAGAGAGTGTTGCAATTGTCAAATTCGCTGAAGCTATTCAAAAGGTGTTTTTGCATGAGCTTATTTCAATCATTGTATCCTGAGAGACAGACGTTGGTATATCTCCAGCGTCCATCGAGAGGAGGTAAATCTTTTTTAAGGAACTATGATATCACACAAGTTTCGGTTTGCATCTCTTATCTTTTGTTCTTCAACTTTTAAATTTAAAATATTTCTTATATATTATTTTGTATGTCTATGTGAATTCGTTTTGTAATATGTTACATTATTTAATCTAGTTCATTCCTATATTTTTAATTTTATAATTTATTCTTTATTTCATTCTTTAATAAAAAAAATTATTTTGTCATTTCTATTTTATTTTATTTTAGATATATATATATATATATATTTTTAATTTTATTATGGAAAAATACCAACACATGCAATGTTAGCCACCATATATACATTGGAGCACTCACATTTTCAACACCTCTATAAAACATACTAGTTTATGTCGCTAATTTCAATCCTATAGGCTTCGTTTCGGAAGCCCAACTTGGGGCTTTTTTGGTTATTTTAGTGACAAAAAATAAAATAAATTTTTTAACTCAATAAGACAAAACATCACGTTCAAACCATAATCATTACATTCTTTCTTTTACAAAAGAGTCAAAAAAGCTAAAAAAAACCAAAAGCCCTTTCCAAACCATGTTTTTTAGTCCCAGGCTAAAATAGTTAAAATAGCCAAAAACTAAAAAAGTCAACTCACTCCCCAAACGAACCCAAAGTTTGCATTTTCAAAAGCAGGGTAGTCGCATTAGCGACCATATAAATCGGAGCAGCTGCTGGCTACTGCCATTGAAGAAGAAGAAAAAGAAGAAGAAGAAGGAGGGAAAAGAAGGGAAGGAAAAGAAAAGAAAGAGGTCGTGGTTGTTGGATTTGAAGGTGGCTGGTGGTGCTCGTAAGGTGAAAGAAGTAAAGAAAAATAAAAAAAAATTGCCCAGAGAGATATTGGTGTAGGGAGGTATGGTTCCAAAGTTATGATAGCATATAGATAAG